AATTCAGCCTGTATTTTTCTCTTGCCAGAAACCCCCTGGAAATACAAATGGGTGTGTTCTGCTTCAGTAATCACATGTAAATGCAGAGATGCCAGCAGCACTATAATAATGACTGTAGTGTCTTTGAAGGCGGTCTGAAGCTTCCATTCAAAGACACTGTTGAATAATTAAATCTTTTTTTTTTCCTATTTACATGAAAAAATGTAATGATATCTCCCAAGTACCAGATTTCCTTCCCTTCTATTATTTCTCATGCAAAGAATAGAGTATTTTAATTATGACACTGCTGATAACCTGTATATAAAGAAAGGTGGTGAAAGACCAGGTCCAGATAGTTCTTTATTGTGACCCTCTGTAACCTGTTCTTAAGACAGAAATGACAGCTTGAAAATGCTAGGTGCCTCTGAGGTGATATTAGAAGTCTGGCCTCCCCTCTGCAAATAAAGGGAGGCATTTCTGTTCACTTTGTTATGCCCTCTGACTCCTGGCTGTGCATTGTGACCGTTTATCCTCCTTGCAAGACTGGCTGCTCAGCTGGCTGTACATGGTTTTAATCTTTTGTTTTGTTTTTTGTTTTTTGTTTTTTTTTTTTGTTTTGTTTTGTTTTGTTTTTTGTTTGGTTGTTTTTTTGGCAGATACCGAGCGTCTCTATTCAGTAGTGTTCGAAGAGATCTGTGGGAGTTTTGGAAAGTCCTATACCTGGGATGTGAAATCCTTGGTCATGGGGAAAAAAGGCACAGAAGCGGCACAGATTATTCGAGATGTTCTAGATCTTCCAATAACCAAAGAGGAGTTATTACATGAAAGTGCAATTAAGCAGCAGAAGATATTCCATACTGCTGAATTGATGCCAGGTATGTTTCTCTTCAATGTTTATATATTGTTTATGGAATTACATAAATGCTAACCAAGGTAGAAGTTTTTAACTTGCCTTCCACAAACTAGTTTCTCTTACAGATTCAGTTATATCTCTCTTGTTTCATCAAATTTTACTCAAATCTACCTGTTATTTTCCTGTTAAAGAGATATTTTACCTGTTGAAGGGTACTGATTTTTTTTTTTCTTGTTTACTTGGAGAACAGCTTTTTTTCTGTATGTTTTAAAAGAATTAAAGAGACAGGTTAATGTGCACAAATTCTGTTTTTTAAACCAGTCATTCTTTATAATTATTGTTGGCCACTGTTTAACTCAGCAAGTTAGTTTTCTCTGGCTATGAGAGAAGTACAGATACGCTTTTAAATATGCTTGCAAATGTATGAGCCTGTGGCTTCTTTCAGGTGGGATTAATCTTGCCTAACATGAACACTGAGACTTAAGCATAGTATCTGAGCCAGCTGAGTGTCAGTGGAGAGGGAGGGTTTCTCAGGTTATCCTAAGGCAGGTAAGTTTCATCACCTCTGAAGATAAATGTAATTTACCAGTGTAGGAAGTCTGAATGAGTAGCTTAAGCAGGGTACCTCAAGATGAGCAAAAGGATGAATCTTATCTGTGATGTGAACTCATACTTTTATATTGCATTACATTTACATCTGAAATGCTTAGAGACAAATCTTCAGCCATCCAAGACAAGCAATACCTAAAGCTGGGATTGCTGTTAACTTTTTGTACAGTGTTAAGCTTCCTGGAGCAAATGTTGATAATTTGTGAAAAAAATAAAAAAGAAAGGAGGCGTTAGGAGAGAGGGAGGAATAAAAAAAGTATTAGAGGTGAAACAGCTACATGTCACTATAACAAGTCTAACTTACAACTTTTTCTCTTTGAATGTGTGCTTGTTTGTTCTGACAATCTCTACAGTACATTAATGATGTTTTAATTTTTAGATTTTTTTTTTTATGCCTAGTTTCATAATGCATTAAGAGGATGAAAGTTAAAAATATACGGTATGTTAGGAATAAATGAGTAGCAGCAAAAATAAAATGTGTAGTTTTTAGGCAGCTTAAAAACTTGAGTATTTTGTGTGGCCAACTTAGTTATATCTCTGATGTCTCTTATATGCGAGATTTTTCAAATTGCATCTTTCTCACTTATAGATCCACTTAAAACTAAGTCTGGGAAAACAAGAAAGATGTGAGGGATGTGTTTTTTCATGTCAAACTTCTGGGACTAACTTTGCAACTATATCTTTTGCAAAGCAAACAAACAAAACCTAGTCTGGGCTTAGAAAATGCCAGATGGACAGACTGGCTGAAATGTTAGGAGGCGGAGAGAAGAGTTGCTATAAAGTAACAGCACAGGTAATAGATGCCGTTAAAGTTAATATTCTGTGCCTGCTAGGGATTGTGACTTGAACAGAGTTGCAGAGGTGATGGAACAGATTAGCCAAGGGAACATGAAGTTTTGTGCTGTTCCTTCCTTCAAAAGGAGAATTCTGGGCTTGCTAAAGCTAGGCTATTATAGATAAAACGAGCAAAATACTTACTAGGACAAGCAAGTAAACATTTTTATCACTGCCAGAATTGTTGAACTGATTGTCTTTTCAGTTCAACTAAATACATGTGATAACTTCCTTCAGGCTATTTTCTAAAGCAGAATTTATATAAACTTAAATGCTTTACGCTCACTGGCCATTCTGGGGAGCAAAGGCAACCTTGGTTACTGAAGTAATGGGTTCTGTGCTTTATTTGGTAGCAGCATACAAGATACAAGCTGAATTGCCATGAATTTTGAGAAAACCGGGTTGATATAAGCTAATAATCTAGAAAGAAGTGGCTCCAGGTACTTACTATTTAGTTTAAGGACCGACCTGTCCTGATAACCAGATTTTTTAATCTGATAGTTTTCTTCTGTTCTTTTGTATCTTCTGAGGATATTTATTACCATAATCCTAGTTTGTTTGTTGTATAGCCTCTTCGTGTTCTTTAATTAAGAATGGGCTTTATGCATGTGTTGTGTAAGATGTAAGACAGTGGTGACATTTTGAGTTCACAATGTTCTCTGACTAAATTGGTCTTTCATATAGTTACAAGTAAATATAGGAAAGTGAGGATTTGTTGTCATACTTATGGTGTAAGATGACTCTGTTGTGCTGAGTCTCTGGCTGTCTTTTAAGAGTTAATAGGCAGGTGAGGTTCTGTTATTTTAATCAATTTGTACAGTTTTTTAAAAAAATAATCTTTGAATTTGGTGTGGTGGAGAGCAGTGCTGAATGATGACCAACATTTGAAGAAGTGAGTCAAGCAAAGCAGCACTTGTTTCTGGGGATAGAATGAGCTGTGCATGTATTTGTGCCAGTGATGGTAACTGTTAATCCTCAAATCAAGTAATTTGACAGGTATGCCAGTGATGGTTAAGGATGGTGTGGAAATTGTAGGAATATTGGAGCACACAATTCAATTAGCAAAGCAATTCTTTGGCTGACAGGCTATATCACAGCCATGCCACTTAATGTACAAGAGTTCTGAGGCATTAGTGGTTGAAAATTGAATTTTGACTATTTCAGTGGCTGAACTGACTGACAGGCTTCAATACATCAGGTCAAAAGCTGTGGTCAAAATACAGATTTAATCGATGAAGAGGATATATCTGTTTCTGATATGGAATTTTCCAGTAACTGTTCGAGAGTTTTTCACAGTTGGATTTATTTTTAGTTCTGAAAGAATCTTAGAGAAGGCTAGTTTTGATTCAGTGGAGAAGAGAATTAATCCAAGACAACACTGACAAAATGACAGGGCTTCTACTTGTGCTGCTTTTCTAAATATTTCTGTCAGAGTACAGACATTGTTATTTGCAAGAGTAACATAGCAGGTTTTCAGTTTCTGCAAATGCAGTACTACATTGCAGGGAAGTGGATCATCAGAAGAATAAGGAGTGACAAGTGGAGCAGAAGAAATCCATGCATATGTATGTTTACCTATACATGTATAGGTGTGCTCTTACTTAGCATAAACCCAAAACCCCCAGAAAAATGTAACTCCAAGTTACACAGCTGCCAACAGTTACTCTAATCATGTCAGAGTTATGAAATTAATGCCATAATTTCATAGCAGTTTCTGGGTTTTGACTCATCATCACAGCAAAGCACAGATCCTTAAGGGTTGTGTGGCTGTGTATACCTTTCAGACATGTTCCATTCCTGGGTTATTTTCATGATAGGTGGGATTTCTCTGTGGCAGGTCCTGTTCAGCCAGTGCAGAATGTGATGTGCAAGCTATTTTCCAGTTCAAGTACAGTTGGCTGTCTCTTGCAGACATGAGGAGGTAATTTCATAGCTCGGTTTTAGTACCAAATGAAGCCAGTCAGAAATCACAAAGGAAGAGGGAAAAAAACCAAACAGTTCAGTTCCAGTGGCAACTCACTTTAAAGTTATATGTATTTCTTGAACAGTTCCTTTCAACCAGCAGTCTAGTTTACTCAGCTATTGCTTCCTTGATTCATGTTGTGCCCTTAACTGTTAAACAGACTTCCTACCATGTTATCTTTTCTTTTCCTTGCTGTTATTGTTTTAATGGTAGGAAATCACTAAGTCTATCCATGCTGGGCTCAGTGAGCCTGGTAACCCCTAGAGATCAGTCAGTAAGCTGCAAACTGGGAATGATGCTGTCTGTTTGTCTCATTTCAAACATTTGGCCTTTGCATTAAATCCTAAAGGTTTGCAACCCACAAATGCTTTTATCAGGAAGTCAGCAACACAATTGTCAGAGTCCGAATTGTGTAAAATTTAGTATTTCTATATTTTTCCATGGCCATGCACATGTCAGTGTGTCCAGACTAGAATGAGATTATCAATTTGGTGAATGAGTTGTGTGTGATGCCAGAAGGATCTCGGGTACTTTTTAGAGAATAAGTTGAGAAGGTAGGATTCTTCATTAATAGCCAGTTAAGTGCAGAGTAGGTTAATAGTTTCCAACTCCACTTTTGTAGCTCAGTAAAAGGATAACTTACTATTGCAGATAGCATTTTTTAACAGTGTCTTAGAACAAAAGAGAAATGTGTGGATCTGAGAGTTGTGTTTCCATAGTCTCATGAGATTCAGAAATAGGATTAGATTAGACTAGACTAGACTAGGACTAGACTATTTCAGTTGGAGGGTATTTACAGCGGCCATCTAATCCAATTACCTGAACAATTCAGGGCTGACCAAGTTAAAGCATTCATGGCAATTACACCAAGTGGTGGATGTCCTCATCTCTGTCACTCTGTCGCCTTCACAGCAGCAATGTTGACTTCACTTCAGGATTCAGGGCAAGTGTAGATAATTAATAGCGCTGTGCTGTTAGGCTTGCAATTGTTGTGGCACACCAGACTACATAAAAATTACTTTTAATCAGTTTGTGAGTTAAGTGAACAGACACCTGCTTCTAAGTGATTTATTTTTTTTCCCTTTGTTCAGTGTTCAGAGGCTGCTGAGGTTTTTACCATAGAATTGCTTTTATGAACTTAAAGGATTGTCATTGAATTGGCTAGAAATCAAATCAACTTGACAAAGCTCTGACTGGTAATGTTAGCTTTTCTTTGATTAAAGAGAGAGATGAAATCTTGAACAGCCTTAAGTGTGGTGTGGTATCACATTCAATGTAGGAACTGTATATGATTTTGAAAAAGAGGAGCAGTCTTTTCATACAGAGGCTATATCCGTAAGATTTTAATTTGTGCACAGCTGCATATAAGTTATCAAGACATGCATAATGCATGTACACAGTTAATTTAAACAATGCATGGAGCACTTTGGTTTCCTTTAATCTTTTTCTCAGCAGTAAATCTTTTCTTCCAAATACACCCTGAATGCTCTTGGGCAGCTTGTTTTGTGCAACATTTCAGCAAAATGAAGTGGACTAGTTGTAAAGACCCTTGATTTTGATGACCCAGAGATCAGGTGTACTCTGTTCTCATGCAGTTGGTGTGAGTAGAAAGCTAG